ATGGATCTCATATAATTCGCCGAGAAAGTCAGCTCCGCATGGATGAGATTCCCAAGAGGCTGAGATGCAAAGCAGACACTAATCAAAATTATCACACACAAAAAAAGATATATGAATGGACACATTTTCAAGATTATATAATGATATATATATATATATATATATATATATATGTTCGAATTAGGTGAAACTTTCTAGGTGATAGATTGGAGAGAGAATATCACTTTAGCGGATGAGAGAAGTAAACCATTAATTTATAATATATATATTAGAACGCATTTAAACATGAAATAAACGTTTTATTTCTGTTCGACCCATGTTTATTATTATATATGGGCCGAGAGGTAAAAAACATCACTCGGGCTGTGATACAATATATATATATAAATATATCCATATAGAATGTTTAGGGATGTCAAATATACTCGTCTCGCGAGTCGGCTATAATTCATATTTTTTCGATATGGATTTAAAAAATTTGAATAAAAAAATAGATCGAACGAAGTAGGTCGTCACGAATGGAGCTCATGGTGAATCAGTTTGGCGAGTCTATGAACTAGTTTGCGAATCAGAAAAAAATATTTTTATTTATTAATACTTTTAAATATTTTAAAAATAATTTATATTGAAATTGTGTTTCTAATAGGTATTTGATTTGTTTAATTTTTTAAAAAATTTGTTGTATTTATAATATTTTTTAATATTTATTTATTTTAGTTATTTATTTGGTTTAACTCGTTTGGTTTGTAATCTAAGATGAATAGGGATGGCCTAAATAATTTTTAGCTAATCAAAAAATGGATCGGATTGAGTTAAACTTAAAATTTCTGAGATCGAGACGGATTGAGGCAGGTCGGATCGAATCATCCTGTTTTACACCCCTAATAATAATATTACAAAGACAGGCATTTGTGATACTCCATTATTTTATTAATAATATCATCGTTATTATTTGATTTGAAAATTTAATTATATTCGTTATTATATTCCCCTTTCCCTTTTCACTCACGTGTCATTTATTCACTAGCTATTTAATAATTATAAACATCGCCTTCAGTCATTGATGGGCAAATCTCTCTCTTTTTGTTTTTTCCTTTATTTATTCTCTTCTCAATTTTAGTTCGATTTCGTGAACCCATCATTTTCTTCCCATTCCTCCTTCATTAACAAGGGATTTATATATACATTTAGTATTGTATCATTATTTCGATAATTAAGATTTCTCATTAAACATTTTCATAATCTACATGTTATCTAATCTAAAATCGGTGAATATGAAAATAAAAAATCGAAGATATACTGTGGATGACAAAATTACATTTTCGGTCCCTATAGTAACTCATTAACAGTTGGCAAGAATATTTAGAGAATTTTACAAAATTAACAACTTACCATTAATTTGCTTTATCGATAATTTAATTATCTTAGAGGCTTCAGGTGACTCAAACTTCAAATATATGCACAAATTGTATTAATTTTATAAACATATTTTGCTAATAACTTATATACCAAAATGATAACGTTTGAAGACGGAAATTTTAATGTTTTAATATTTTCAAACCTGTTTTTTTTTTCCCAGCTCCATCAAATGAAATATACTATGGATTGGTCTTATTTATCGGATTAAAAAGAATTCTAATTGAACTATTTTTTTTATGAACTGTGTCGAGAATATTTTACATAAAAATAAATGTTTTAATTCTCCACATATTTCACAAACTCACTTGTTCTCAAGAAAAATATTGAATAAAGGGCCATATATATATATATTAAGGTTAGCTGCAACAACAATTTCTAAGACTTTTTTTTTTCATAATAAAGTAAAAGGATAGAAGTTTATGGTATAATATTTTTTATGCATTTGTTTCTACGGAAACAAAAAATATACTTTCCATTTTGAGAATGGACGGTTTGTATACTAAATTATTATGAAACGAAATACTATTTGTTTCCATTTTTAGAAAGGCTCGTACAAAAAGCACGTGCGTAAATAAAAGATAAAGCCAAACCCACGTTTTCTAGGTCGACTGAAGTCATTGACCCACGTTTTCATAATTATTATTCGCCACGTGTTTTTAAGAAAAGAACCGATTCGTTAGATTCTCTGCATTTAAGAATTAGTCACCCCTGAATTTAAAAAAAAAAGTCATTACCACTAATTGATTTCTCCTTTAATTACCTGTTTTTGTATTTTTATTGGAATAATTGAAATAAAAAACAGTTAAACGTAATAATTATCAGAAGTTGTTAAAGTCATCAATTCCACTGTTCAAGTTTCCCCATCTCCATTATTAAGGTTGACATTTCCCCGTACAAATCCAAGACACAAACCCAATCGAAAAAAAAATGTGTATTATTAATTTTTTTTTAAAAAGCTAATATTTTGATTGGTACAGATAAACAACCTTAAAACTAAAGTCTATATTATACTCCTAGTAAACAGTTGAAAACATATTTTCAAAGACATAAATAGTATTTTATATTATTTTATCGATTTTCAATTAAAAATGAATTATCATTATAAAAAAAATCGCATACCAACTCCAGTATCTGGAAACTGTCAAATAGATATAGTATCAACGTGAGGTTTATTTGTTAAATTTTTGTACATCTCCAAAATGTTTTGGATAAATTCAACATATATGTAAATCTCCATAATGACACATCGATATATATAATTTGTAAAGAAACAACGTGAGGTAAAAAAGACATCAAATGTTAGTAAATAAGAAGATATAAAGATTGAGATTGCCATTAATCCAAATCCAAGCAATATTCAGAATCTTTCCAATGAATCAGGAACTATATACTAAATGGAATAATAATAATAATCTCTCCATTTATTGGTTATTCATTGTTGCCACACTTGAGAGAGGAATCAAAACGCGAACAAATCAATCAGAATCCTCGTTGTCTTCCCTGTCTCTTGGAACAGCACCAAACTGTTCCACCAGAATCTCTGCAACTAATGGCGCCAAGTCCTTACACGGAACTCCCTTCTTGTAAACCTCGCCCAGGTGGGAGTCACTCCCTACTCGCCCGCCCACGAAAACATCCGCCCCTTCGCATGGTTTCCCGTCCTCGCCCCGAGCCATACACCCCATGAACCCGATATCCGCTACTTGAACCTGCCCGCACGTGTTTGGACACCCGGTCCAGTGCATTCTCACGGGTTTCGTCACCGAGACCAGCCTCTCCACTTCTTCAGTCACCTTCAAGGCTCTTGCCTTGGTCTCGATTATCGCTTGCCCGCAGAACTGGCTTCCCGTGCAAGCCACTAGGCCTCGCTTGCCCGCAGAACTGGCTTCCCGAGCAAGCCACTAGGCCTTTCATCAGGATCGATGGCTCGGGTGAGAACCTGTTTTTAAGGAGTGCCTCTTGGAGCAGAGCTTCCACTTTCGAGTTTTCCACATTCGGGATTATGATGTTTTGCTCTACTGTGAGCCTGAGTTCGCCCGAGCCATAGGTCTCAGCGAGGCGGGCAAGCTCATCCATGTCGTCGGCTTCTAACCTGCCAACTGGAACGTGGATACCGACATAGCTGAGACCTTCTTGTTTCTGAGGGTGGACCCCGAAATAGTCTCTTCTCTCCCATTGTTTCTTGATGAGATCCTCGGATGACCCCCTCTCGAGTTTCCCATCTGGCATTCTTTTCTCTACCTCGGCTCTAAACCCTTCAAGGCCCTGCATTTTTACAGTCAATCAACATAATGATCTCAACGGGTATATCAGCACAGGAAAAACTTGACGTCATGCTTTAACTCACAAGTTCATCAATCAGCCACATCATTCTTGTCTTCTGTCTATTTCCTCGGAAACCAAGATCTCTGTAGGCCTCTAGAACAGCTCTACATGACGGAAGAACATCATCGGCAGGGACCCAGGCATCGAGAGGGATGGCCTCTTCACACCTTTTGGCACTAAAGAATCCTCCCACCAGCAAATTGAATCCGAACCTGCCATCTTTCTCGGCGGGCATGTAGGCTAGATCATTGATATGAGGGTGCTCATATAGATCATGGGTCCCGACAACACATACATTCCATTTCCTCGGTCTGCAAGAAACAATGGCCACAACCCTCTTTAGCAGACATTACCATCTGATCATAAACCTTAAACAATCACAGGAACCTTACAAGTTGGTGAAGGCGGGATTTCCTCGGGAGTTGGCAGTGATGTAATGGGACAAGAGGTTAGTGTAAGGCCTGGTGTCGACGATCTCATCCGGGTCAATTCCAGCAAGAGGGCTTCCGACAGGATTCCTCACATTGTCCATCCCACTCTGGAGACTGGTTAGGCCAACCTCGGCAAGGCCTTTCAAGATCTCGGGGACATCTGGCAAGACAACGCCTCGTATCTGCCAGTTCTGTCTTGTGGTGATATCTGCACATCCATCCTTACCATACTTCTTGATCACACTCGCTAAGTACCGTGTCTGTGCACTCGTTGTCACGCCATTAGGTAGCTTCAGCCTCATCATGAACCTACCATCTGAACAACATATGCATATACATATACATATACATATACATATACATTGTACCCATTAGACAAACTGAATTCCTCAACTAATATCTATCAACTGGAAAATGTGGGATTTGCACGAAAAGAATCAACAATTGGACAACATGTGCAGCAAGACAAGAGCCATTTCCACATTATGACGGATCTTAGACCTCCCTTCAACATCTAATAATCCGACAGGTGATCCAACATGAATCAGACAGAATATGGACAAAGTTTTTAACAAAAGACTCGGACCTTTGCCTTTCAGATTCCACTACTGAAAAGTAAGAACAAACTCCGGAAAAGGGAAAAGGGAAAAGCAGAAAACATACACTGATGCTTCCTTCGGTGGAACAGACCAAGCCACTTGAGCCGAACCTCAATATCATCTTTCGATGTCTTGTCATTGTCGATCTCTTCCATCGTCATCTTCGCGAGCTCCTCAATTCCATTGTCCATGAACAGCTTCATGGGCTCCTTCTCGATCTTCACCTTCTCCTGAGGGTTAATCCCTTTCCTGAACTTCTCCTTCAGGACAAAGAACCCATCTCTCTCCTCAACCCTCGGCTCAAGCCGATCGGCGTCCACCGCCGGTTCGGCCGGCGCCGCCGTCT